GAAACGTTCCTTGATATTCAGTTTTAGGCCAGTGGAACTAGGTAACTTTCACGTCGAACGTGTAATTATTTTTTTTAAGCAATGACTATATATATATTTTTTAGTCATTCAAGAATAGAAAGGAAAATATCTTACTTAATTGTGCTCGTTTCTTTTTTTCTTTGTAAAATTTAATATACATATTTCTATCATTCATTGTTTTAAGTATTGCGCGCAAGTCACTAAATTTTGATATTATATGATTATAAAAACACACCAGAGAAAATATAAAAAATGGAATATAAATTATATTTAAGAGATAATATTTCATATACATAAATACATTAAAAAAATTAGTAAAATATATTAAAATAATTTAGGTTTGTAAATTAGCATTAATTAGGTAATATTATCATGTGTGTTTCATTTGATGTATTCTTTAAATTTTAATATATCTTTGGACTAATATCCAATTAAATGATATTAGTAACTGATTTATAAAATTTACGTTTATCTCAGGTGTGTTTTATGAATACAGAAATTTGTTTTTACATTTTTATGAATTTATAAAAAAAAAAAATGATATAAACGTATAACAAATTAAAAAATTTTATTTATATAAGTCTTAAATGTTTCAAGTAGATTCGATCGAAACCTGTAAATAACGACGAGTATCGTCTTTTTACAAACTAGTTTTACATAAATGGCTTCGTCTGGCGAAGATATTGTAAGATGTTACTTTAAGGTGTACAAAGGCTTTATTTTTTTCTGCAAAAAAAGAAAATAAAAGAGAAAAAAGAGAAAACGATAAGAATTCGATACATGGGACCAATCGTATTAGAATCTATCTAAACTTATATTTAACTTGTATGTACTTTTTTTGTTGATTGTAAAGAATTTACTTCATGAACATATTTTTGTACAGTTACTGTAAATATTTTTCTTTTTATTTGTAACAAATAATTATTGAATGGATTTCGATCGAGCTACATGATTTATAAAAACATGAATTTCCTTAAAGAGAAAAAAACATAATAGAAAATAGATTTCTAAGTTTTTAACAAGAAAATGAACGTTTTGTAGAAATTAATATTAGAATATTTAATATAAATTCATCACTTCATTTCTTCAATACTTTTAAGTCAATATAGACTTAATACTTTAAGTCAATATAGAATTATTTTGTTATTTTAGTTAATCATTTAACTCAAGTTAAATGATCTAATTTAATACACTATCTGATCTCGAGAAACGGGTAAATATTACTCTTAAAAAAAAAAAATCTTATGTTAAACATTATTTTTTGGCTCATGTACACCTTGAAGAATGCCATAATAACAATGGATGTATTTTTTTAATGCATTTTCAGCGGTAGGTGCTGTGAGAATCGAATGATATAAATAAAAACATCTATAAGTCAGTTTTTTAGACTCTTTGTAATTAAACTTTGTACACGCGCATATAAATAATATAATAATCTTCTTGAACTTAATCCGCATTTAAAAAACTTAGTATTATTGCAAAAGTATTCTCATTGATTGTAAGAAATAATATATATATGTTTGAATTTTATATAATGGAATTGTTCAACATTTTTTTAAATTGAATAGAAATTATTTTATCATCGAATTTTTAATAGAAAAATTTTTAGTGATGATAAAATCAATAATTTAAGTTTTTTATATGAGGAAATTAAAAATAAAAATTGTAAATTTTTATTTTTTTCTTAAACTTTAATCAAACTTCAGTTGATATGTAAAATCTTTATAATACAAATAAAAATACATTGTAATATGACATAAATTAATATTTGTAGTATAAAAATTGTGCTTGCGCGTTTTTGGTTGTGAAAAATAATTTTCTTTAAAATTTATATTGTATTGTTCTTTTTGCGATCAGTGAGAAATATAAAAAATCCAAAATATCACTGCCAATTAGTGGTTAAAGTATTACAGAATCTTAACCACTATTTTAACGATCTCTTTGCACAATTGATAATATATATATATATATATTTATATATACATATATGATAAACTAGAGATCTGATTGAAGTATAAAATTTTTTTTACATAACTTAGAAAGTATTATGATTCACCAGCTGAGTAGCAAATTTATAAAAATAATAAAATATTTTACCCCTAAAATGAATTTTTAAAAAAATTAATTGTTTCTAACAGCTGGAGGATAATAATGAAATTTTTAAATTAAAAAATGAAACGAACACTGTATATACATACAAATAATATATCCATTGTGATGAATATAATAATCCTATTATTAAAAAATTATTTGTGCAGAATCTGCATTCCATTTGAAAAAATTTCTAATCCTTTATTTTTCATAAAAAAAAATATAAAATATATAAAAGCATTTTAAAGTTATTAAAAATTACAATGACCATTCTCTTAATTTAGGAAATTTCTTCCAGTTTTATAATAATGAAACAAAATAATTAAACAATATAATAATATTTTTTAATTTTAAAAGTTATTTATGAATAAAGAATTAAATTCTAGTGAATGATTATATTTATAATCCATAAAAAAATTAACTAAGGAAACATATGTTAAGAAAGTAGTTTAGCTTTTGTACCTGTTTGTAATATTTCTATACGATATTATTAGTACATGTAACACTCATGTAGATGCAGAGTAATTTGTAACAATAATGTATATGTGCAATGAGAAGATTCAATAATAACATGTTGAGAAATGCATTTTATAGTTTATAGTATACTTCACAAATAATAGTCCTTTTTTTTTACATTTTCCTAAATAATATAATATTGAAATTGAAGTTAAATTGAATAATTGAAATAAAGTCCTTGTAATAATAATTTTATCTTATTCTAAAGATTTTTCTTTCTCTAAATATTTACTATTAAATTTTTTATATTATTACTATATTTGAAATAAAATTATTTATTTTTATATTATATTAATATTAATACTTATTTTAAATACTTTTATACTAACTTATTATTTCTTTCTATGGATGTCTTAATCATAAAATATCCAAAAATACCTCAAAATTATATAAAGAAATATTTTTTATTTATATATTTATTTTTGTAAAATAAATATTTAATATTAATATATAAATTATTATTTTCTAACGAATGCAGATGCTAATACAAATAAGATATATGACTTGTTATATATTTTTGATTGTGGGTATAATTTAAAATATGTTTATATTATGCATTTTTGTAAATATATTTTATCATTCTGGACGGAAAAGAAGTTGTTATATTAGTGTATTATCTACAAACGATAAGTCCTTGTGCATGGATTATTATATATTTATTATATTTTTATAAAATTTTAAAATATTATGTAAAATTTTAAAATATATGATATAAAAATCATTTTTTATGCTATTAGTAAAGATCGTCTATTAATCATTATGTTTTATTATTGTAATAAATTATGATATATAAATAAATATTATATCATAGATTAGATACAGAAAAAATCTAATATTTAATGTATTTTCTTTTTTTGAGAGAGTATTAAAATGTTATAAATCAAACTAGATTAACAAAGATAGCAAATAAAAATAAAATAAAAATTAGACTCTTAGCGTCATCTTTTAAGGAAAAAAATATCGTTCTAAAAATACTCAAGAGATGGTACTGATTTTCAATTACTTTATCTTATTTTTAAAGAGATATTTGTGATATTCAAAAGATGGCGTTAACCATCAATTCTTATTCTATTTTATCTTTCTCTATTTACTATTCTTGTTTATTAATATAATTTGTATTTTATCTGTGATGCTCTAAAGATGGCGCTGGTACTTCAATTTTTAGCTTATTTATATCTCTCTTCTTTTCGCATTTGCTCTTCTAGTCTATTATATATATTTTTAAATTTTATATATCTTATATCTTATTTTATATATATTTTATATCTATGAAATATATTATTTGCATATTTGTTGTAGGTTTTACTTTTTTATCTTTTTTTTAGCAGTTTCTTAATTTTATATATATATACTGTTTTATTACCTTTTTTCTATCATTTTTTTTTATTATTATTTTTATTGATGATGAACATGAACATTTTTTTATAATTTTTGTAATTTTAGGGAGTTTAAAAATTTAAAAAGAAAATGGATCATTTAATGGATCATTTAATTACTTTATATTCATTTGTAACAATAATTAAAAAATATTTCAGATATTTATATAATTAAATGATATATATAATAATAATATATATATAATTAAATGATTTCGAAAGTAGTGAATTTAGATAATTTTATTATAAATAGATAAATATACGATTTATGAATTTTTTTATTATAAGAAATATAACTTTAGTTCAAAGAAATTACTTCCTTTTTGTATCAATTGATATAATTCATTATTTTCAATAAAAAAATCTAATTTATCAATGATTTAATAACTTTTTATAGAGAATAGCAATCACAAAACTTCTATTCTTTTATGTGATTTATATTTTTTTTCAATGAAAATATAATTATAAATCACTATTAATGTTAAAATATATTTTAATTATAATCGTTAATTATAAATTATGTTAAATATTTCATAACACTAATTACTTAAATAGATATTAATCAAAATTAGAGACATAAGTCAAAGAGAATATGATTAAGTTTATACATCTTTAATTGCAATATCATATTTACAGCATATTATGGAACATTGTAATTACAAAAATATTATTTTACGATACGATATAGAGTCGTATTTCGTTCTACAAGTAAATAGTAGAATACGATTCGTATTATCGTTCGCAAATAGTATCTTGTGATATCTTTCTACAAGAGTCGCGTAATTATTAAATAATTGCAAGAAATCGTATCGTATTTCCAATTGTGTGCTCGTATAAATATTCTCGCACTCACATTTAATAAAAATTTTCGAAAACATTGATATATACATACATATAGAACGGGCATAGGATATGTTTTCAGACGACTATGGCATCGCGATTGTAACCGATACGTCGCAATACATATGTAGAAACGCGGTTTAGAAGTAACATTTAAAAGATATTAGCAACTTTCACCGTGAATATACATATTCGTTTAATTACACACAGATATGCACACGTACCTCTGCAATTTAATTCTAATAATCGCGATAATAACATGTTTACTTTCACGCCGTTTGTCATTCATTGTTCCGATTATTCGTTCCCGATTAAAAAATCGATTGACACGTGGCTCTATTTAAATATTTTTTCGAAAATCTAAAATAAAAGATCCATGCAACTATCGAGCACGAATAATTCAAAGTTCAAGAACGATGCAATTCCGACCATTGGTCACGCGTTTTGTAGAACCTCTTTCTTGTCGAATTTTCGCCTTACTTTCTCGACAAAAGCGCCTTCTCTCGATTTCTCTTTGATACACGTTTCTAAAATCACTTTGATCGTTCTCAACGAGGAATACAAACGGGGTTTGATGGATCGAAAAGCTTTTTTTAAGTATTCACTCTATTCTCTCGAAATTATTTGTCCAGGTCGCCGCGTTGCTATCCTACGCCTTGGAGCCAAAAGTCCACTGAGACCTCTAGTTTCTTCATGTTTCGTGCTTGCGGCTGTACTAGTTTCTGCGGAAGCTGTTTCGGACGGTTCTGTTTCGCTGGAAACATCTGGTTCTTCGGATATTTCTTCTTGGCTAGTTTGGGCAATCGGTGCTTCGGTCACTTTACGACGCGGTAACAACGGTGATCTTCTAGATGCTAGAAGCACTGGTGTTCTAGTGGTTGTTTTAGGATGCACCTGTAGTCTATTTCGATTACGTAATTTATTCAAAGGGTTGACGGTTGTGGAACGTGCCGGAGGCGGGCTAGTTTCTGCAGGTGCCTGAAATGAACATTTTGCGTGAAAGTCGCGCGTACATGACAACGCGGTTGTCAAAAGACGAGAAATAGACGCGACTTAGCGTCAAAGCATGTCTGGCATGTGACATTTTGCAAAAGGGCAAATAGTGAAAGCGAAGTCCAAAGAGAAGCTTTACTGAGGCCATACGTTTTGAAAAATGCGTTGTAAAGACACGAGATTTCGTAAGGAATCGCATTCTATGACTTGAGAATTTTGAAGTGAATTCAAACAGAATGGGACATATAAAGTGTTGTATTATTTCGGAACGAGGATTATAATATTTGATCATGACTTTGATTCATCTCGGTAATAATCGAAAATGATTTTAAATGCTTTATAAATAATTGATTTTCAAATATAGATGCCTATTTTATATATATTTATATGTATATTATTTAAATAGAATAGTGTTCTAACTTATTTTTGTTCACAATAAACCTCAAAAATGTATAAACATTTAATTAAATATCATAAATGAATTGAAATACTATGATCTTGATCGATCTCATTCGAATTTTTTCAAATCTGTAATTTTATAATTCTTTTATCAAAAAATTTTACCTCGTGAGTTTCTTCTTCAGTTCCTTCTCCAGCTGGTTCATCAATTGACGATTCCTCTGCGTTATCCGAAGGAAGCGGTGTCGTAGTTGTGGTCGTCGATTGACCTGGTTTCGGTCTCAAATTTATTCTAGCTCCAGGTTTAATAACCGGTCTTGTCCCTGTTGTCGGAAGTCTCGAACGAACGGTCGATTTCGGTGCCGCTGTACTCGGTTCCTGACTAGTTTCCTTAGGTGTCTCTGAACGAATGGACTCTTGGCTCTCCTCGCTACCGTTCGGAGCAGTGGTGGTCGGTCTTCCACGTCGTCGGTTGATATTTAATTTATTGAAAGACGGTCTCGATATTCCTGAGGGCCCATTAGAAGATGCAGTTGAACCACCGTTCGATGGTGCTGATGTTGTCGTCGAAATGGATCTCGTTGCTCCAGATCCACGGAATCTCCCGCGAGTAGTGGAAGAAGGTCGTTCTGCGTGAACAGAGCTCGAACTCTCTTTTTGTACCGCGTCCTCCTCAATTGGATTGGATTGCTTTTGTCCAGGTCGACTTCTTTTGAAACCACCACCGTTAGAACCATTGCTACCGAAACGATTTCGCGTGCGTTGTGTAGGTTCCACAGGTGCTTCGGTCGTCGTTGTACTTCCGTTTGATTTGAATCTTCAAAAAAATTGTTTTTTTTTCAATTCAACATTAATTAAGAGATACAATAGTAATAATTATATTATCGCGAAAATAAAATAATATAATTATATGAATTGCTAAATTTAAAATCATTTCAAGAATGTTGAAATTATTTTGATAATCTTATTATCTACTATATAATTTATTATATATTTTGATAAACTTATTATATAATTATATTACTAATGATACTTAAGAAATTCAAAATGAATTTTTTGTAACATTTTTTAAATAAATAATTTTTACCTGTTTCGAGTACCTCCATTAGTTCCACCAATACCAGGTCTTCTAAATTTCCCCCTTCCAGCTGGAGCTTGAGTAGTAGTGGTAGGTGGTTCCGTAGTTGTAGTTGTGGTAGTAGTTGTAGTAGTGCTAGTAGTAGTGGTTGCAGCAGTTGTGGTGATTACTGGTTCTGTTGCAAGACTTGCTACATTGGTTATCGTCGTTGATTCCAGAGTAGTTGGTGACAATTCAGTCGTCGCTGTCAAATCGGTAATAGCTTCGTCACTGGAAAGTGTCGTTTTATCTGAAGAAGAATCTGTAGCTTCGCTGCTCGATGCATCTACCAAATTATTTTGACCTTGTTGCACGAAAGCATACAAATCTAACGCGACTTTGTCCATAGAACATGGATACTCCGTCGTTGCACTTTCAGTCGTGGTTGAAGCAATACTCGCTGATGTTGTGGAAGATGAATCCGATTCTTCGTAGTCTTGCTTGTTCTCCAAAAATGTTTGCTTATCTTTGCTCTTCTCCGATAATGAACTTTCTTCTTTGGAATCGTCTTTTTCCTCGCTTGCATGTAAAGATTCACCTCTGTTTGATTCAGGAGGAATCTAAAACAAATGATAAAAAGGAAATTATCTCAATTAAAAATCTTTTGTTCATCACCCTGATAATTTATCCTATTAAATGTAAATTTTAATGTAGACAACTTATCTACATTATGATTCAATTTGAATTATTATATTAACTTTTGATTGAAAAGCAATTTGAATTTGACGCACTGTAATGTTATTCAATATATCATTCTTTACATCAACTTATTCTCTGAACTTCTAATTTCAATAATTTCAATCTTAATAAAATTCTAATTTTGAAATTATAAATTAATTAATCAATTAGGGATCAAGCTGGATTCTTGTAAATCTTTTAAAAAAATGATATTTGGATATTAATATAAGGATATTAATATAAATCATAAATTATGTTATGCTAACGAATGCTAAGTTACATATAAGCAATAACTTTTCAGTCAATAAATTTCCACTATTAATTGAAAAAATTGAAACTTACCCGAGAATTCTGTTTTACAATCATTATTAAAATGTAAAATCATCATTTCAAAAGAACAAAGCGCGACAATCACCTCTGTTGAGAGGGCGGCGATAGGTCTCCTCCTGGTCGTAGGAAGGGGCGCTTCTTCAATGATCTCTTCAACAGGAGCAGGTTCTTGAACTCGTTGCGGCCTTCCTCTTCCTCTGCTCGCCGTTCTCTCTTCCCCGTTCTCTTCATTCGGTGTGACACCCAAAAATCGGACAGGCCCTTTAGGCAATACTTGGGGAAATTCTGGTCCCTCTTGATGGGTACGAAAACTGCTGGAATCGACCAGGTCCAAACCAGGTCTGGGACGATTTCCACGAGTTCTAGTTGGTTCCGTGGTTCCAGTGTTGTGATTCGATCGTGACCTGTCGATGAACGAATTTAATAGCTATATTACTCGAATAGAAGCGGCAGAAGGTAGCGAGATGGAAGAGGAGGAAGAGGAAAAATGTTACGTGTGATGTGCACCTTGGTGGGAATCTGGTGTTGGTCGGTAGCCTTTCCTCGGATACGTCTTCAGCTTCGACCAATTGTCTGCCTCTGTTGTTGCCATTTCTGTTTGGAATCACTTCGTTGCTGGCTGGTTCCACGGTGCTCGATCTTTCCACGGTGTTGTACTTGTTTCTGTTGGAGCCACGCTTAGGGGCGGACGTGGTTCTAGAAGGAACGTCGTAAGAATTGGTGACCGCCGAGTCCGCTGAACCCGCCTTATTCTCATCCTCCTCGTCATAGTAATAATATACGTACTCGTATTCGTAGTCCTTCCCGTTTGGCCCTTTCTTTACCTGCGTAAAAAAACTTCAGATTACTTTTTAATGGATAAAGAAATTCTTAATAATAATATTTCTTGTTTAATCTATTATAATTATTTGGAAATTTTTATGTTCATTTTTTAGAAACAAATAATAATAATAATAAATAAAGTTATCTATCTATTAAACAAGAAATCTATGCGGTTAATTCTTACCTGGATACGCGAATTTGTGCCAGCAGGGACTAAACTGACGTCGCTAAAATCGCCAAAATTGCGTTCTCGAAAGGACGTTTCTTTGCCGTCATCGCGGATTATATTAACAGGAACAAAATCAAAAGAACGCGCCTCACGTGGAGTCGTCAGAACTGGCATCATGGTTGTTGGATACTCGTTACTGAAACAATGAAAGAAATTTTCTCATTTCTCTTTATATTTAAACATTTAATATCGTAAATAATATTAACTTTTTATTATTTTTTTTGAATATTTTTTGAACAAGAGTTATGTTCAAAATTACTTATTAGCTATACATATACTATAATTATGTTTATTATAATTAAATATATATTTTGTCGATTCCATTATGATTAGATATAATTACTTGTTGAATTAAATCTAAAATGTGATAACCTTTCAATTAGTTTCCTTATTATTTTTCATGATAATTTCTTTTCACATTTCTTCTTAATACTTTCACAAAAGTTTCTCAAGCAATGATTCTATTGAGGATCTTTATGAAATTATATTATTATATTTTCATTCATAAAAGATAATTTTTAAATATTTTTACTTAAAAATAAATTTTATCGTGTCATTTTTATATACACATAACATTAACAATTAAAAAAGAGAAAATAATAAAATTAATATAATTTTTTTGCAAAATTCAAATTATATTTTATAGAAAATAAGAAAGTATTCGAATACTTTTGAATTATAACATACTTTTATAGTTCTACAAATCACATAGATGACTTTCTAATTTAAAATATTTCAGTGCAATTTAAAAAATATTTTAACTAAAGAGAATAATAATTGTAGCACCAAGTAGCTGAGATTACATGAACAGCGAATCAATCATCATAGTGTTATTACAAACATTTTAAATTATTACTTAGTAACTTAACATAATTTTAACTACTTTTTTAACGATTTAAGTTTCAAAGTGTCTAACTCTGCTTTCCACTTTTCTTAAAGCTCTAAAGATGTTCCTACCTAACGTGCACCCCGGGAATCACTGAATCTTTGTGGCTCTCTACGCGGGATCTGTGCGTGTCACTTCTTCGAACTCCATCCTCTTGAAGGATCCCGGTGTCGCCAAAGTTTTCCAATTCGACGCGGACCTGCCGCTTCGTTGTGTCACCCGTTTTGTCTTCGTCCACGAAATCGAAACGTCTGATCGGGTCGAGGTCGGTCAACTTTTTATCAAAACTCTCGAACTTCGCCACAACCTTTTTCCCGTGTTTCCCATTTTTCGTGATGGTCTTCCTCTCCACGTCCACAACGTCGTCGTCCCCGTCGTCATCGTAGTCGGATGGCCGCGCTACATCCTCCGGCACTTTGTGAGACGTGACGAATTCTTCGCGAGGAAATACGAAAGGCATTATTTTTAAAAAAAAAAAGAAAGAGAAATTTGAAGGATTTAAAGGGAGATAGATTTACCTTCGTTCGACAAAGCTTTGCTTCCGGTTGCATCATCGTCTGCGAGTGTGTTTGCTACAGCGCAAGATATCCTGAACGATAAAAAATTGGACTGTTATTATTATTTACGTTGATTTATTTTCATCGTTATTATTAAGAATATAAGAGATTTAAGGATATTTTCAATATTATGCTTTCTATACGGATGAGGATTTTCTGAGAATCATTCTGATGGAAGTGATGATTTCGAATTAATTTCTATGTTTCTCCTTTTTCATTTTTTTTTTATATTAGTAATTAATGGCATCGAATTTTGATATCCAAAAAAAAAAAAAGAAAGGAATATCAAGCATAGTAGAGAGTAAAATTAAAATCGCTACGAAATCGAACGAAATTATCTCGTCGAGAAACGTGTGCACAGATTCTACCGCGAGCAAACGCGGTATGGTGAAAGTTCGTGTCTGACCGGTGAGCTGGAAGCTGCGACCCGCTACAACTTGCCTCGTTCTCTTTCAAGCGATATATTCGATCTTTAAAAACTTTCGAGCTAAGCTCGCGCCAATGTCTGTTTAACCACAAAGTCTCGACGGCATTCCATTTGTCCAAAGTTCGCGCGTTAAATTCGTGCTCTTTCTTTTTTCCAACTTACGGCTTTTCCAGTTAGTCGAATCGGCTTGAGGTTCGAAAAGAAAAAAGAAAGAAGCGAAAAAAAATTTTTTTTCTTTTAATCGATTTCAAAAAAACGATTTCAAAAATCGATATTTCGTCTCGCATTCGCGTTTCGAGGGGACCGATTTTTTTTTTTTGTGACGCGAGAATAATTTAATCGAAAGAAAAAGTCAAGGCCGTCTACTAGCGTGCTTGGGAATACGAGCGCGACCTCGTCCTCCTTTGGCTCAAGGTTGTTCGATCAGATTCAGGGAAAGATCCAAAAATTGAGGAAGATCAAAACCCATGCGACGCCTCTCCATGCGATTTTCTTCAAACAATCGCAAAATATAATGTATCAACGTATTCGAGGAATACTTTTATTGATTTGGTTCTAGAGGCGAAAGAAAAAATATTGGTATACGCAAGAATGTTGAAATTCATTTATTGAATTGTGAGCGATTTAAATTTATAATTATATATATATCTCTTTTTTTTATTAAGCAAAAAATTAAATTTAAATTATACCATATTTTTGTACACCATATTTGTATATATTAGTTTGTTTTGATTTTTAATAATGTTCCACGAGTATATAATAATGTATAGAATTTGTATAAAAGCATAAGTTGATCGATTTTGCGTGAGAATTTTATGCGAGACGAAGGAGAAAAGAAGAAAAGAAGAAAAGAAAAGATGGAGCAGTTATACGAGGAAACGAGTTGTCCAGCAAGGTCGATCGGTTACGATCGATTACCTCTGTCGATGAAGGAGACCGGCTACTGTAAAATTAAAAGCGGGTATCGAGGGCTTGTTGCGCGTCGGAAGATATACACGACGATTTCGTATCCTGTCTTTTCACGGAGCAAAATGAGCCGTGATCGTGCGAAATGTTGGCGATATTTTTTTTATTGTGCGCAGTTCGATAGAAAGTCGAAAGGCTTTGTACCACATGGCGACATTTTCGATTGAAAGGAATAATATATCGGGTGTATAAGATTGTGGTATTATATAAATTGAAATATCGAAAAGAAAAATATAATTTTTTCGAAGTTTGAATAATTTTTTTGTATTATGTATATACTTATTCGATTCCTGATAAATAAAAAAGTGAAACGAATGAATAAAAAATTTACGTGAGATAATAAATAAAAAAAATGTGGAATAACATTTTCTCTTCAAAGTTTAAAACTTTGTTTTCGAATTCGAAAGTTCGTGAATTCAGCTGATTTATCATGAAAAATGAATGTCTATCGATTCAAATTCAATTTTTCAAAAAAAAAAAAAAAAAAAAAAAAAAAAAAAAAAAAAAAAAAAAAAAAGAACAGAAAGAAAAAAATTATATTCCGTATTCGATCTATTTTTGCTTTGTGGAATTATTCGATCGAAGTGCATTTTACCAATATTTAAACTCAATTTTCTTGAAAATGAAGCTGGATGGTATTCTTATGCATTTAATATTTATAAAAATCGAAATTATCTTTCCTTAACCTTAATAAATTTTTCAAGAGATTAATACTTTAAGCACGAAAAGATCGTAATTCTATCTTTTTAAAATAGTTACAATAATTTGAAAGATTTTTCTATAGATATTTTCTATAGATATTCCATACAACTTATGAAGGTTAATGGCACATAAAAAAAGTAGACAATAATTTCTATTGATCGTTATAATGTCCAACACTCATTTATTTTAACGTAATTGCATTATCACTTTCTACAACGTATATCACGATGATCTTCACACTGCTTCATTCAAAAACAATGCCTCATTAATTATATAAATTTTCCTTTACCTCAATTAAAAGAATGAGAAATTTAAAATTATTTAAATATTAGACAAAAAAGAGGACTGCAACTTAAAAAAACATTCGAAAAGATTTCTAAAGTCTATACACATTGTATGAAGCTTATTTCTCAGAGGTTAAACGAGAGAGAAAAGAAAGAAAGCAATGATGAAAATATACGTACAGAACAGAAGCAACGAACGATCAAGATAAATTTTCGCCCAAGGAATTCGAAGGTTGAGTCTCGATACGCAAGCATAATGATGGAATTTATCGTGATTCCATATGGAGAAAGCTGTCTCGGCTCACAACCGTATCTACGTAAGCGTGTACATATACAGGGTGTATCTCCACTGGCACGAGACAGACTCGCCGTTACATAACCTCACAACATTACCGTGAAAGCCTATTCGAAAATATAAGCAAATATACGAACTTATATATATATATATGTATATATATATGTATATATATGTATATATATTATTTTTTTGTCTTACCTAAAACAACGTAATTTTACGAAGCTTGTTAAATATATTCGCAAATGTGCGAAGATGCAATCTCAAGAAAACTTTCTATTTAACCTGTTCCCCCCTCCGTTGCGCAAATATGATTGCGCGGGATGCGAAATATACGAGGCAGAGGATAAAGATAAAAAAAGAAGAGGAAATGTTTTAACATTTACAACGGATTTTGTAAAAATCTGTTTGCGAAAGTTTACGGTCCCCACGCACGAGCATCTTCACTCCTATCTCGATTCATCGACCATCTTCACTCTCCCACTCCTTCGATTAGATCGAAGGTGAGAGTCGAAAATTTGAATCTCTTATGGACGAGATCGTTGCGATGCAATTGTGTACACTACTTTCATTCGATCGAATTTTTGAACACGTAATTGTAATTATTCGATAAAAAATAGTTTCGATTATCTTCGATATGATAACGAGAACTCTACGAGCATCGATCGAAATTCGAATTTAAATTTGCGATAAAACTTTCTTCCTTTTTGTTCGTTTAACGTTAAAAGATAATTTTGGTAGAAGATGTTTGTCACGATTGAGAAAGAGAAACCTGCGATTTAAATTGTGCATCGCAATGCAGATTCTTTCCAGACCACGATTCAACGTTAATTATCGTTCCTCGGGGACGATCGTTAAAAGAAAAAAAAATTTATCAAAAAATGAAAGTAAGCGGAGAGCGCGATGATTCTTTTCTCAACAATCTACTTTCAAGAAAAATGTAAATTTTTTCCAATTGCAATAGACTCTAAAATTAATTAATATTATCGAAATGTCGATCGTTAAAAATTTCCTAAAAAAAATCTCTTCTGCCACGCGATCCGTCACGATCCTACCACGCTCCAATTATCAAAAAAATTACACAAATGAATAAAAATTATGCATATTTTTTTTTTT